CGGAAGTTGTTAACGATGTCAGCCTGGACCCAAGCTACTTTACTTTCAGCTGAAAATTAAAATTCTCATCCCAGTATATAGGTACTACATATGAACCTCTCTCAGATTTGTTCATTTCGTGATGATATCTTTAATTCTCTAATTTTAGTGAATATTTTTGTAATTTTTGGTAAAAAGTGATATTTTCGACTTCTTTTGAAAATCGCAAATCCAATTGCTTTGATATTACATATATAGGTACTACATGTGGACCTCTCTCAGATTTATTTTTATTCGTGATGATATCTTCAATTATCTAACTTTGATGAATATTTTTGTCATTTTTGGTGAAAAGTGATATTATTGAATTCTTGTTGAAAACGGCAAGTCCGATTGCTTTGATACTATACATATTGTTCATTTTCTAATGATATCTTCAGTTCTTTAATTGAAATGTGCATTGCTAACAGCAGAGCTATCTCAGCCGATAGACTGCTTGTTAGTCCCCGTTCGGACAAAGTCCGAAAACGAGGACTTATAATTCGGTCTCCATCCGTCTGTGTGTCCGTGCATCTGTGTGTCCGTCGGTCTGTGCGTCCGTCCGGAGTCATATCTCAGAATCCTTGGACCGATTCCGTTCATTCTTTGCATGTGCCTAGTACTTTATGTGGGACATATGCACATGCAGTGGTTTAGCGATTCCATTCAAAATGGCCGACTGGCAGCCATCTTGTTTTTTGAAAATGTTGTATTTTGGACATGCTTTGTCAGTTGTTATTCAAACTTGGTACATAGATTATACATGTTAGGGTACATGTTCATGACGATTTATTTCGCAATTGGATTAAAGATGGTCGACTGGCAGGCATTTTTTTTTCTTTTTTATGCGGTATCTTTGACGTGCTCTGTCAGTTTTCATTAAAATTTAGCACATACATGTACTTTATACATGTTAGGATGCATGTCCATGACAATTTGTTTCAAAATCTGGTTGAGGATAGCCGATTGACAGCCATCTGACTTTTTGGCCTTACTACTATATTTCCACAATTTATGTACCATTTTCATTCGTATTTGGCACATACATCATACATATCAGTGTGTTTCATAATCAGATCAAAGATGGCCGAATAACAGCTGTTTTTATTTTTGGCCATATTACTACTACACGGAACACGTATTTTGATGTAAAATTAACAATCTGTTGTATAAGCCACTTGGAACTCAAGTTTCAAGGACACGCTCGCGACAACCCCTCCGCTTTAATATGACGAGCACAAAGAGAACTTAATTTAACGGGGACTGTGTCATTTTCAATGACTTGTTGTATAAGGGACCTTGAAATCATTAATATAGTAACATGTAGCTTTAAAAATACAAAATGTTATTATACACTACTTGTCAAGTATTATTACATACCCCAATATTTATTTAATTTATGTCTTCACATGTGTGATAAATACATTACAACCAGTCTATTCTTTCATTCATTTGAAATTCTAATGCAATATTTTATCAGGTAAATGTTCATTTTCAAAATATATTCTTGTTGACATAACTTATAACATCCAATGATTTCTAGTTCCAATGTTTGAGTCTAGACAGTGCAAAGGATTAGGAATATGTTTTGAACCATGCTTCTCTGCACACAAATGATTTATAGACCTTTGTCTTTTCAGAGGTACTTGTATTATACAGAATAATCTGTATATTTGCATTGCATAGAACATAACAATGACATTAATTGTTTTTTTTATTTGAACATTAAAGAAAATTCTTTTAAATTAAATTTTAAACCATTTATTTGTGTTCAATAGAAAACATATTGACTTAAATTTACAAATTCTGATAAGAAATTGACCTTTATCGGTACTCCCATAGCTGAAATCATGGATTTTTCACACGAACACAACTTTTTAAATTTAACAAAGATAGATCAGCTTTCCAAAAACATTTTAGCTGCTATATAATACACAAATAAGGAAAATTGTTTAATACATGTACTTTGTAAACATTCAAAGTTGAAAACTTTTTCATGACTTGTTTGAAAGATCAAACTGTATTTGTCTAGGAGGAGGTTTGTTATTATACATAATCACTGAATGATGGTGAGCAGGGAGACTGTTACTGATGCAAACATGGTGATTATCTCATAAGAAGTCTTGTAAACATTTTAAATCTATATTATATTTTTATATTACCCTTTTAGCTCCAATTTTGATAATCACATGGCACAGATGGTTGTTGTTAAAAACAATAAATGTACACTGACTAGTGAATAAAAAAAAAAATGACATCCATGGAACCTTGTTTATTTTAGGATTAGGATTGAGACTAACCATTAGTCATTCATTAGATTCTATATTGTGAAATGACAAAAATCAGAATGTGTTTATTTATATACAAAGCTTTTACAAGCGTTATAGTTACATCTTTAACTTAGTCTGCCTCAAGTATCTGTAGATTTATACAAGTTTTTATGATGTTTATTTAATGTAATACCATATGCATGTTAGAATTGTTTAACCCATTTACCACTATTGTTAATCCCTGTTTGTAGCATCAAATGATAATTTAGGGCAAGTACATTTTCATATTACCAGATTCTGCCGTAAATTCGACCATCCAAAAAATCACCCTAATCTAAAATTTGATACATTTTTTTCTTGCTGAATTAAAAAGTAAAAACGCCTAAAATTTCATTACAATGCAACCCTGTGTCATCTTTCTCCAAAAAAATCACATTAACGGACCTGGTACACCAAATACAATAATTTTTTTTAATTTTATTAGTAAAGTAAGAGTAGAAGTTTTAAATAAAAACGAACACTACTGCATTGCTTAGAAGCAAATGATCGTGATAGCGCAATCTGGCCATGCTGCGTTTCATAATTGCTGATTATTACTTAGTAATGATTATAATAACGTACAAAAAATAAATTTCAACTTAGTTCATCGTAAGCAACTGATTCCAGTCAATATTAAACGCCCGATGCTGGAGAATATTCTTTGGCTTGAATTTTGATGGGAAAACAGCATTTTTTTTTTAAATAAAAAAATTAGTTGTTTTCAAAAGATAAACTGAGCATTTGAAGAATAATTTAACATCGCTCACGGTGATAACAGCTCTTTGTCGAAACAAAGCTTACCCATTCACGCTAGTCGCTATAAACATCACTCTTGAATAGATTTGATTTAAATTAGACTTGATTTTAGATGTCAAGAATGATTGAAATGTCTGGTAAAATAAAAGCCAAAATATTAAAAGAAAACACCTTAAAAAAACTGCAAAAAATGCCCTGGGCGAATTTTTCGTCACATTTTTCAAAAACCCCAACTGTCATCTAACAACCCAGGGAGAATTTACGACAGAATCCAGTATAGGTCCTGTCAAAATATGATTTTTTTACTTCTGTGTGTGAAGCACACAATGGGAGTCTTAGCAGTCTGTATGTATGTATATATATATATATATATATATATGTATATATATATATATAT